TTACAAACAGTTTTACTTCATTTCGATAAGCCAATTTATATAGAAATATAGAGACAAAATGTTACTTATATAATAAAATAATATTTGTATAATAAAATGATATTTGTATATAAAAATGATATTTTCACGTTTATAAAAAAACATACATCAATCATTAGCACAACAAATCTTTTTATGCAAAAAAAATCGACCTTTTTATATTTGCAAGTTGCTGGAATCATCAAAGCCGAATCATTGAACGATAATAATTCTAAATGTAAGTTTAATGTAAATTTAATTTCGCACGTGTATCTTATACAAGAATAGAGGAAAAATATTCTCTTTCATTCCAATATTAGGGAAAAATTATTTTCAAAAAAGTCTAGATCATCTGTATATAAAAGAGAAGAGTATTACAACTTCTATCAAACACATATTTTGTTCAATTTTCAAAGTTAGTAACTTTTTGTGGAAAAATTTTTGGAAAATGGAAATTAAAAACACTATATTTATTGCTACTTTAGCAATTTGTTTACTGTTAGTTTCGGTAAGTATTTAATTAATTAATACAATTGAATTACTCTGTTTGTCAAATGTGATGAAGAATTTTTTGTTGTATTTTAGGCTACAAGTCCAGTACCAATGCCACCACCAAATACATACGGTAAAATGTTATTAATATTAAAAACATTTATGTATTAATTTACAACTGGCCTCATATTGAATATAATGTCATCAGAAAGAGAATGGTCAACCAATAAGTTCCAATTCCAACGAAAGAATTTCGATGTTATTGAGATAACATTTGTTGTCACAATCTGTCTACTTGTCTAAATATTTATATATATTGTGCACCTCTCCACTTGTCCAATCTGTCTAAGTATCCACCTACATTTCTATTTTTCTACCAGTCTACCTATCTACGTGTCCACCTGCCTGTCTGCTTACCTTTCTACCAGCATACCTATCTACTTGTCTACCTGCCTGCCTACCTATCTTCCTGTCAACCTGTCAATCAGTCCACTTCTCACTGAATTGTCATATTTTGCTCCGTATTTCCGAAACGGCTGGTTATGCATTTGCCAAAAACTGATCAGCACGTCCCACGTCAATAGGAATTGAATATTTCTTGAATCATTTAAATAGGTTGATCCGTGCTCTCAAAATCGTTGACAAAAATAATTATTCATTTTAGATTTGTTTGCGATTACTATAACTTACTCTGCGGGATGTTAAAAATAAAAATTCCTTTTGACTAAAAATCAAATTAATTAGATATTGGAAACTAAAAGTCAAATATTTTTAAAAAATTGTTTTAGTAGTAAACGAAGTGTTTGTTTATATTAGGTTAGTAACTTTGTTTCCCCTGTTTCTTTTTTTTTAATTTAGAAAAATATTATATTATTATTTCTGTATCTATTCATTTGTACTTTTTATTATGTTAGTTGGTTGTTTATCTTCTGATCAAGATCATGTTCTGGACAAATGTCCTAAAGATGAAACTTATAATTGTAAAAGAACTTCTTATATTATTATTGCTATTTTGGTTTCTTAGTTCGAAGGTTAACACATATTACAATTATATTATGGTATAACTAAAAGATGTCATTAATAATATTAAAATTTCAGATCTGAGTCGACCTATGATTTCACCATCGAAAGTTCTTCCAGAAGATAAAAATGACAAAGTGTCCTCACCTCCTGAAAATGAGAAACAAGTCTTACCAGAAATGGATGTGATTTGTCCAGAAATGATTGAGAACGAAGGCAATTCCATAGACTTGAACAATAAATTAACAGAGTAACAATTTAACAAATATTTAATTGAATTAGGAAATAATCAAACTTTATAAATCAAATAAAAATTATTAACAAAGACATTTTTTATTATGCATATTGTTTTCAAACAAGATTTTTAACCCCTTAATTTATTCATCAGAACTTTATAGTGTTTTTGCTATGTCTTATCTTAGCCGTTCCTTATTCAAATTTTTCTGCAACGTATTAGCCGATTTTATTTTATATAGATATTAGTAGTATATCGTGCTAATTAATTTTTGGTAAAGATCGATCGAGCCTTTTCTTCTTATTTTATCAAATGCCGTTTATTTACAAAATGGTATTTTTCTTGGCACCAAAACTAAGAATCCAAAATTACATTTAACTTGTATTTTTAAAACTAACTGGTAGTTAAGATTTAAATTTGTTTTGTGAAAAAACGGAGGGACATCTATTGACGTGTGTGAGAGGGAATGGTACATTTACTTTTAATATACTGTAATAGAGGAAAGCACTGTTTGTTGGTTTTAGTACAAAATTAACGGTTTTGATCTAAAATACTTCTTAATATCAATGAGGTCCAACAGATCGCTGATTTATTTTTAAAATACAATGCAAAAATAAAAAAAATAGATTTAAATATTTACAAAAAAAAATGAATATAATTCTTTGAAACTCAAAGCTCATTTTCACTTTTTGAAAAAGATTAAAGGAAATGAAAGTGAAAATTTTTAAATGTGAAAAAAATATTAATATGTATTAAATTTTTAAAAATGCACTAAACATTAGCATTATTCGTTTTTATCCTATGCACCTATTTTTCAATCTAATTTAAAATTCCTATCCAAAAACACATATCAGCTTATTTATAAGTTGTTTTTATAAGGATTGTATAAAACAAAACAAAAATCATAAGAACCATTTTAAATATCATTTCACTTGTAGATCTTCTTTCTAAACATCGCAGAGAAACATACATATTGCACCTAACTTCACGTATGTGTTAACAAAAAGACATCAAAAAGTTGCACTTATGATAAAATTATTATTTGACGATTGTGCGTTTTGGAGGTTAGGTTTTATGTGTGAAATGCCTGCCGGAAAGCTTGACAGTGTTTTACTACCAACTCTTACGAATATACATACCATTTACCAATACATACGAATATAGACCCGTAACATATCAATATCATACCATTTTTATCTACTTGAGAATTAGACCCACAAATTCAGATATATAATATTAAAATATTAAAAACCTATAATAAAAATCTATTATTAATTACAAATATGTTAAATATCAATATTTATATACAACCACAAATCATATTTGAAATATTTTTGAAATATATATGTCGAGCAATGTAATTATTTTTAGATAATTTCCATTACGTTTACAAATATTTACAGAAACAATCAATAAGCAAAGTTCCATCGGTTTGACCTGCATACATAAATGAAGGTACCAGACTACAGTCATGTTTGCCGAATTTCGAAATAATGTTCTCAAAAACAAAAATAATATTCGGTACATTAAGAATTAAGATACAAGATTTTTTTCAGATTTGCTAAATCGTTTCAGAGTTTGCAACAAAATATTCTTAAACACATATTCTGCTTTAGGTACAACTATCATTTTTCCTCTTAATTAAAATATTTTTTTCCAAATCAATTTGTAAATAGTAGTGCATAGTGCCTTGGAGCAAATTGCTAGAACGTCCAGTACCGTAATTAAACATTCAAAGAATAAAAATAATCAATATTCAATAAAAATTGTTCAATGATTAATAACAATTATTTTAAATGCTTCCAAATAAATTATTATAAATACTGTACCTTTTATTATTCGTATTTTATGGACAAAGTATATAGCTTATAAATTAGACGACGACTTTTACATATTTTACAAGAAAAGTAAATAAATTCTAATCCATCCGAGTGAGAATGAAGGGCCTTATCACATATTTCATCTTGGATTAGAGGATTTTATCTCATATTTCCAAGAATTATATAAAATAAATTGCAAGGTTAAAATTATTTATATCAAACACATAAGTTAGCTTTAGAATATTTTAAATTTAAAACTATATATTCCCGAAAAACTAATCATTTCTTCACAACGTCAACACAAGCAGTTATTCTGAATCATTCTAATCGGATGCTCCGTTCTCTCAAAAACTGCTATTTATTGCATTTTTTGCTTAGTGTCTTCAAAACGTATGGGCCTTTACCAAAAACGAATCAGGATGTTTTTTGAATCATTCTAATCCGATACTTCGCTCTCTCAAAAATTACTGATTTAGCACTTTTTGCTCCGTATCTCCGAAACGGCTAGTCATGCCATTATAAAAAACTAATCACTGCGTCTACCAGTCAATACAAATCGAATGTTTTTCGAATTATTCAAATCGGTTGATCCGTGCTCTCGAAATAGTAGACAAAAAATTGTATGCAAACATACACACACACAAATTTGCATCAATTTTCTCTCAAATATGATCAGGAAGTCTTAAAAATGATCAGGAAGTCTTAAAACGTAAAAATTGCATAAATTTCATTTTCGAGTTTTTGTAATTACTTTCGACAGTAATTATTGTAAACTATTTATATTTTATACACTGCATTCAATCTAGGTTAAATATTGAATGTTGTACTTGAATTATGTACTTTGAGCAATTCATAAATAAGTTTTTATTATATTTTTTTCTTTGATCGCCGATAAGATAATTTGCACAAATCCACATGTTATATTATATTTCTTGTCGATTAACAATAAACTGCATTCTTCTTTCTTATATTTCTTATAAATCACTGGTCTATTTTCTACATCTCTAAACCAAATTTTGAACAGATTTATTTTAGCACATTGCTTCAATAAACTTCGACAAATTGCTTATAAAAAATTGTTTTGATACACAAGATATAAATTATCACTAAGTGAAGACAGTATCTTCATCAATGTTATGCTAAAAGTATATATTTAATATCCACGTAATTTTTTTTCTCAGATACTATTATATTCTATCATAAAGATTTGTCTTTTACCTTACAGGTCAAACTAGAGAATGTTTGATCAATACCGCAAACCCAAACAATCTATCTATCTATTCAGAAAATTATAATAATTAAAAAATAAATAAAACAAAAATATTCAATAAATAAACAAATGACATATTGATTTAAAATTTCAAATTTTATTAATGTCATTTCGAGATATATATATACTGAAACTATTATAAATCATGGCAGAAGAAGAAGCAGGAGCTCCAAAAGCCGAAACTGAAAAAAGAGTGGTTCATACTTATCCCTTAGTTAAGGTAATAATTATAAATTAATTAGATTGATTTATATAATTATAAACTTTTTATAGATATTTTTATTTAGTTCTCAGATATGAGTGATGAGATGAAATCAGAATCTGTTGAATTGGCGGTTACGGCTTGCGAAAAGTTTGCAGCTAATAATGAGGTAAGTTTATGAGAATATTTACCAACACTTTTATTTATTTATTGCGTGAAAGATGCTGCATACAAATTTATTTGCAATAATCATTGATACAATATATTTAATTTGAGTTTTTTAATTAAAAAATATGTATTGTATTGTATACGGGCCGATTCTGCTGTAAAATAGACCAATGTTATGGCAAAGCTATGTTAAGTCCTAGTTTTCATACAAAACGCTGCTAAATACTGTTTTAAACATAAAATGCAACTTCACTCATATGTTATCAAGATAATTATGATAACAAAGCCATCAAAACCATTGGTGCTTTTTCTAGGTTAGGTTTCCTATTTAAAACGTCTGACTGCACAGCAACTATATAGAATTTTTGTTTTGTTTTGTTTTTAGTACCACTTTATAAGAAAACTGCTGCATAACATAGCCTTGCCAAAACATTGGTCAATTTTACGGAATAGCAGAATCGGCCCCATAATGTAGTTTTCACTTTAAGGGTGTTATAAAGTTTTTTTACCCTCAGGTGTTACACTCTCTCATAAATTAGATATATTATTAAAACTGATTTTATATATATTGGTATGTATTATATCGGACATTTAGAAATAAAAATAGGTTTAATAATTCTTTTAAAAAAATCACATAACAATATTTAGCAAAATGAATAAAGTTCAAATTACAGCTGTTGCTTAATCAGGATATAGTTTGGCATAGCGTGTCTGCCATACCAAACTATTTCTTTCGTGAATTGGCTATTGGTAGTATATTGTAACCCGGATGTTACAATATACTACTAATAATAAGGGGTATATAAAAAAAAGTTAATTTATTTAATACGAATAGCTATTAATCATTAAAATTTCCTGTTTTTGGAAAGAAAATGTTATTTTTATGACAAATTTGGAGTCAGTCTGCTAAGTCTGGAAAAATTCCCTTAAAAATTGAAGCATGTGTGCGCACAGAACATATGTATGTATGTAAGGAACTAACACAGGTATGGAAGAACGACTGAACCGATTTTAAAAATTATTCGATTTATATTGACAATACCCTTGGTTGATACCGTTATTTAAATATTACTACATAAAGAAGGATATAAATAGTCATTTTGATTAGTTGATATAAAAATGACAACTTTACAACATTTTTATAGAGATTTTAATGCTATGAGAACTTTTTTTTAAATCATTTTACTAATAAATAAGAATCTCAAAATACTTGTAAGATAAACTATGACAACTTATAAGATTTTCTCTGAGTGAACACATTAACAATTTTAGTGAAATATTCAAAAATCTAGAACAAGAATTTAAAATGTGGTTGTTATAATTATCATGCTACGTATTTTGTGATATTAAAGAATTTAAAATGTAGTTGTTATAAATATAAGACCAAGTCTTTTGTGATATTATGTATGACAAATAGTGATATAAAATCGAGTTTTGCAATATGCATTTCCATAGTGATATCCATTTGTATTACGAAAAATAGATCAACGAATGTTTTTAAGTTAAAACAACTATTCTGTGTATTGCTGCGAAAAAATTAAGTCAAAAATTAAGAATGTAAAAATATAATTTCGACTAGTAGCGACAACTACTTGGCTGTCATCTGCTAGTCATCTGCAAAAACTGACCAAATAATGTCTAAATATCTTCATAAAATAGATAGATTGTAATTTATATGGAAAATACAAGCAAATTTTTATTACAATCTAGGGATCCTTATTACAATTTTTTTTATTTTACAACCCAAAAATGATTGAGCATCATTTATGGACTATATATAGAAACGTTGCATTTTTTTAAAGATACTAGCTATCGAGCAAATTAATTTTTAAGAGAACTTTTTCTTCCAAAGTCAAATATGTATTTATAAAAATCTGATATTTGTCAATTTGTCAGTGAGTATTTTAAAAATATGAATTCTGTATTTTACTCCCACTATATTTATCATTTATTTTTCTCTTTGCGAGTGGTTGTAAAAAAAATTATTTATTTTTGATAAATACAGAATATGTTATTCAGAAGAATTCCAATAATACAATTCCATGAATCGAAAAACTCCTAGATATGCAAAAACTTCGCTATTTATGCCTGATATTTTTGCTCATTTACTAAAGTATACGACAAAAAATCAAAAACTCTTCTACCGCAAATCACAAAATAATATTTTTGTCCAAATTAATCTACTAAGCCATGCGTCTAATATGTCGATGATAAAACTGTATAAGAATTTACATATATTATATCAAACAAAACTATATCTTTCTTAGCTAGAATAAAGTTTTAATAATCAAGTAGCCCTAAACTTAGTTTTTATTCCAGGCGGCTGCCAGGATGGTAAAAGAAGCCATGGACAAGAAATTCGGTCCAAGTTGGCACGTGGTGGTGGGCGAAGGATTTGGATTCGAGGTCTCCTATCAGACCCAAAATTTGATGTATATGTACAACGGTGGCACTGTTGGCGTTTGCATATGGAAATGTACATGAATAGTCAATAAATATACTTATACACTCATAAATAATATATTCTTTGCGTTTGTATTAACTATACTAAATCAGGAATAGAACCTGGTTGAAAGACCAAACCTCTTACTACTGAGCCACGGATAAACTCAAGTTAAATATTTGAATTGTCAATTTTGATTACCATAAAAAATAGTTCTCACCTTCTCCAGTCTGATTTTATACCGAGGGACAAACAATAGACATCGTTTCACTACTTTCTTATTAGTTTGGCCCTAAAGCGAGACGAAATAATGATACATATATTGTGTTTAAAATGCCTATGTGTATTTGTACATATCGCCAGGGCCGTATTTAGGTAACCGAAGTCACTGGTAAATCTTTTATATAGTAACAATTGTTAAAATAAATAAAAAGTTAATGCTTCGACTGTAAAGTACAAGAAGTATCCCTAATCCTTTATAATGATAAATTATGGTAACTATTGAATAACGAATTTTTGCATTAGTAATAGTTTATAATAAGTGGAAAATAATTATTTAAATGAAATTAATTTATATTTCTTATATAAAATATCATTAACCAATAACAATGATAATAATCCTTATTTATCATTTCATGACAATATAGTATAACTTTGAACTAGTTCTTCTAGTTCATTTATAAAAATATTTCTCATAAATAAAGATCGTTTCAAATAAAATAAAGACCATTTAAACAAACGTTAAACAATTAGTGGAACATACATTTTTAAATAAGATTTCTTTCCTTTCTTAGATTTTGTAATTGGTAGCACATTTTTTTAATAAATATGTTATAGTTCTTTCTGAATTAAAGGTTTATGTTATTGGAAGTCCATGAATCAAAGATGCGTAAAAACAATTGAGACTGGTTATAAATCATTACATAAATAAATATCATTAAAAAAACAAAAGCAAATGCCATTTATGTTTTATATTTTTTTAATACTTATTTTATACCTTCAAATTTTAAGTAAATTTTACAATAATTTATAATCCATGCATCGATTCATACGTAGGCCAAGCTGGAGTCTGGATAGGAAACGCAACATGGAAACTATACTGTCTTGAACTCGACTTTGAACCGAAAGCCATATCAGCAATCCTAGTAAAAGATCGAATTGGCAAGCAGACAACTGCTATACCTCATTTTTCAATGAGAGTGCCAAAGGTCAATTAGTCCCAAGAAATATTATGGTTGATCTGGAGCCAACGGCTATCAATGAAGTTTAGGTAGGAACCTATAGAATAGATAATTTGATATCTTCTAAAGAATAATGCTGCCAGTCACTTTCAAATACATTCGTTCTTCAATGCAAGTGCCATTGGTCAATTGGTCCCAAGGGGCAAATATGGTTGACCTGGAGCCAACGGCTATCAATAAAGTTTAAGTAGAAACCTATGGAATAGATAACTTGACATCTTCTGAAGAATATGCTGCCAGTCACTTCAAATACATTCGTTCTTCGATGCAAGTGCCATTGGTCAATTGGTCCCAAGAAGCATTATGGTTGATCTGGTGCCAACGGCTATCAATGAAGTTTAGGTAGGAACCTATAGAATAGATAACTTGATCACTTCTGAAGAATATGCTGCCAATCACTTTCAAATACATTCGTTCTTCAAAGCAAGTGCCATTGGTCAATTGGTCCCAAGGGGCAAATATGGTTGACCTGGAGCCAACGGCTATCAATGAAATTTAGGTAGGAATCTATAGAATAGATAACTTGATAACTTTTGAAGAAGATGCTCGCAGTCACTACGCTTGTGGTCACTATTCAATCGGAACAGATGGAAAAGATGTTATGGATCGTGTGCACAGGCTGAACTGTACAATGTACAGGTGTGCAAGGTTTCTTTGTATTTAATTTATTTGGAAGTGGTACTGGATCCGGCTTTTCATCGTTATTAATATAAAGACTCACTGACACCTATCACTAGAAATGTAAGTTGCAAGTTGCAGTATATCCAGGTCCGCAGGTGTCAACGGCTGTTGTAGAACTTCTCCATGTTATTTTAACCACACATGCAACTATTTCAGCAGCAGGCGTAGCATTTATGGTTGATAACGAAGCTATTTATGATATTTGTCGGACCAAGTTAGAAATTGAACAACCTCGCTTTCCGAATTTGAGCTGTTTGATCAGTTATGTGGTTTCTTCAATCACTGCTTATTTTTGTTTTAATATAAATTTTTATATAAATGTAACACTTGGACTAATTAATGGATAATTAAATGTCAATTTGAATAAATTTCAGAATAAATTTTTAATTTATTTTGTTATAAAATCTTGCACCAATTGTTTTAGTAAACGAAACTCATAATGAACTTTTAAGTGTCAATAAGATTGCAATTCAATTGTTTAATCATTTTAATCAAATGGCAAAATGCGATACAAAAAGAGATGAATATATGGGATGCTGTAAGTTCTATCGTGGTGATGTTGTACCGAAATAACTGTAAATTCAGTCCAATATTATTACAATACATTGGTATAATGTCCGAAGTATTAAATGTTCAGATTTTGTAATTAATTTATTTTTAATTTTAATATTAGGTTTCGTTGCCAGTTAACTCGGAAAAAAAATATTAAATAGTAATTTGAACATTTGGAGATGTCGTACCAAAAGATGAAAAAGCTATCATAACTATTCTTATAGAAAAAGAGTGCGCGTTGCTACTGTACAAGATAGCATTTAAGTGAAAATAAATACATCATATAACAACTTTGAATAATGTTTATTAGTAATATGGTAACACCCGTGATGCACACATTTATTAGTGTCAAGCATTATACATATTTATATAATGATAAATTATAAATCATATATTTATAATAGCATTAAAATATGTAAAATATTTAAAAACAATAATGAAATTAAAGTCACACTTCAAGATTGACATGATCGGTTTGTCATTGTAATTAGCATTTAGAAATGAACCTTCATTAGAGGAATGAAGTAATTGCTGATTAATAACTTCTATAATATATATTATTATATATAATATATAATATTCGTTCACACAGTTCTTTATAATATTTATTATTATATTTCTTCTATAATATATAATATTCGTTCACACAGTGGATTATGTTAAACAACGTCAACAAATATTGTTTAGCAACTTCACTCGTCATGTAATTGTGTTTGAAGAACTTCATGTAATTAAAATTAACATACATTCATTGGCTGATGGTATTTTTTTTTACTTTTTCTTTGAACAGCTGTAATATCTGTTTTGCCTAAAGAATATTTTCCATTTCAATAACTTCACAGATTTATAGAAATTACGAATAATATAGAAATTTGTTTTATTATTTTCATTATAATTATTTATGGGCGACAGGGTAAAATATTCTTCTGATTCAGGCATTTTTCATTAGATCAAGATTTGTACTACGATGTAACTTTAAAATGTTGAATTCTCTATTCACATTAGCGACAGATCTCTATTCACATACGCGACGACAAAAAATCTCCCTGTCAAGCAATTTTATAACATTATTGACAAAAAAAGAATATATGGTGCGCTATATAAATATATACAATCAAATAAAATAAAATTATAGAGATAACTTATAAAATGTATGTGACTAATGTACGTGTGTACAAAGTCAACAAATAAACAATAAAGAAAAATTTCATAAAGATCAAGATTCACCAAAATTCAAGAAATCTTATTTAAGAAAAAAAGCGTTCAATGTTCAAAGGGATTAGAATAGAAAAAGAGAAAAGAAATATTATTAATACATGCACTTGTCGTTGGTTAAATACGACACTGTATTATCGTTGCAACGACCGGTTCTTCTTACCAAATATCAAAATAATCCCGATAAAAACTTTGAAACTCGCGCTGCACAACAGTTGACCAACAACATCGGACGGGATAAGTTACGCGTTGACAAATTAATTACATTAATTAGAAAAAAAAAACTAATTGTAATTTTATTTCATTACAATAAACGTGATAAATAAAAATCAGCTAACTACTATTTTTATAGAAAAAAATTAACATTAATAATTAATATTTATTAAGTTCGTTACTATGGCTTCCACTTTGTTAAGGATAGGATTAAGGAACGTTAATGGTATCTTAGAAAAACATTTGGGTGTACTTTCAATTTGTCTCAATGGTGCCCAAAATAGTGGCGTGAATTTATTGCACACACAAAGTCTGGTAAGTTTAAAAAAATATTCAAATATCATAATAACAGATGTAAAGATTTTTTTAAAATCAAACTAGTAATAAAATAGTAGCAGGATTTTCTATGCTTTTAGTTGCTATATGATCATTTTTTCTACTTGATGTGCTTTTTGGTACTCATTTCTAGGTATCATAATTTCTGATATGTATTTTTGCGGCAGAAATTAAATAAAATTAGTTTTATTTATATTTGAGAATGACTAATCTATATAAATCTATCAGAGATCTATCTCTATCTCTAACTATATAGTTAGAGATAATTATGTGATTACCACTATATTGGATGTCTGTTATCAAAGTTGACTAGAATTTTTTTTATTAGAAATATTTAGTTTTATTATTGGTAAATAAAAATTGACAATAAAAAGTCTTTGCACTTTTACAACTATACATTAATTATATTCATTGTAAAAATGATTCGATAAAATATTAAACCAGCAATTATATCTTACATGTGAAAACTTTCAGTTAAGATATCATTAGAAATTATTTCTCCAATCCCCTGATATTGCAAAATTAGTAAGATAAAATGTATAAAAATTCAAACTCAAAATAGAATAACTTATAAGTAACTTCTAAAGAATAACAAAATTATTAGTATATGATTATTAAAAACTTTCAATTTATAAACGTGACAAAATGAATAATTTTTGAATCCTAAACAAGCTTATAAAATAAAGCTACAAAAAAGTTTAAATGAGAAGTAATTCTGAAATTTATTCATTCACATCTCACATGTGAAAACTTTCAAGACATTGTTAAAAATTAATTCTTCAATAATATAATAGTGTGAAATT